ATCCTCTGACCAGAACATCTCTTCCCGTAAGCTCTTCAGTCTCTGTTCCCAACGTTCTCCCCAGAGCCAGATCTCCAACGTGCCGTCCGTCAATTCCCTTCGCGTCCTGCCGCGCATGAGAGACATCAGAACGACAGAGCAACAAACGACAAGATGCCGCATGTGGTGATCCTCGGAAGCGGGATCATTGGTCTCTCAACGGCATACTACCTTGCGCATCTCTCGTCCTCTTCAGACCCTGCGCAGCCACCAAACACACAACCCGACGAGGTGACTCTCGCTCCTCACAATGATACGTCCCTACACCAGCCGTCGCCCTCCTCCGAGTCGTCTTCTGCCTCAACAGTGCACATCCACCTAGTGGATCCGTCACCCACCCTCTTCGCCTCCGCTTCCGGCCATGCAGCTGGTTTTCTCGCCAAAGACTGGTTCTCCCCCTCCGTTGCTGCACTGGGGGAATTCAGCTTTGAGCTGCACAAGCGGTTGGCTGAAGAATGGGGAGGGAAGGAACGCTGGGGTTGGGCCGAGTCCATTGGTTGGAGTCTCGACCGCGCGAGTGATGAAGAGAGCGAAGAGAGTCTAACATCGGCAGCTCCAGTCGTCGAAACTGCTAGCGACTCTCAGCAGCCCGAAAGGCCTCCCGGGGCGCTGGAGAAGACGAATGGAGCAGAAAGCAGTGGTAGCGGGACGATAAGTCTCAGCGGAGGAGAGGAAGTTACTCACACAGCCAGCGAACCGAGGACGGATTTGAGTTGGCTTATGAGCGGATCGAGTCGAACGACGGTAGTTCATGATCCACAGCCTATGCAGACAACGGCCGAAACCGAGTTAGTCGAAGACGCTACCGAACTTCCACATTGGCTAAGGGTTGACCGAACTGGTCTACAAATGATCGCCGACAGAAGTTCAGTAGCGCAAATGTAAGCATCGTTTTGTTTGCGTTATGATGTCTAAGGCCATCACTGGAATACTGACGGAGCTGTAAATCTTTCTCAACCTCAATTTACGACACTTGATCGGATCTATAGCGACCCGCTGCGGTTGTGCGAGTTTTTGCTCCAGCGTTGTCAGGCTATGGGTGTCATAGTGCATCATCCGGCGAGAGCAACGGCCCTCATCAGAACCGACCCGAATGATCCAAATTCGCAGACGTTGATCAGGATCCAAGTCAGTGGGCCGGACGAGGAACGTCGAGAGCATGGCAATGAAGGAGACGAACATACAGGTGAACATCGCATCCAAGCAAGCGATTTACTCCGTGGAAATACATCTTCTAGCACGACTGCTGCTACATATGATGCCACAGAAAGTGGTTTCAGGCGTGAACTTTCGGAAACATTTGTAAACCCGCCTCAGTCGACGAGCGAAACGGGCTCCGGTGGGGGAGCAAGCATCAACTCATCTCAGTACTTTGGAAGTGCTGGTACTTCATTCGAATCTAGTCAATCATGGAGCGAAAGATCTGCTTCAGCAACACGCAACGCTGGGATCTCAAGCAGTCATCAACCGATCCCACCGCTGGGTTCGTTCACTTCATCTGAACCTTCTCCGAGGTCTGATGAGCCCGGTTTAGGTGTACTCAGAGCGAGTGCCAGGCAACAAAGAAGGGTGCTCGATATCCCATGCGATAGTATTGTTATCGCGGCTGGATGTTGGACGCCGAGGGTATATCGTACACTGTTCCCTAACGCAACCAGGATTCCACGGGTATCATCCCTGGCAGGGCATTCCGTAGTGCTTAAGTCAAGGCACTGGCCTCCCCCACCGTTAGAGCCACGACCTGCTCAGCCGGCAACATTAACGGAACATCGACGAGTCTCATCGACTAGACAGGGTCGCGAGTTGGATGACGAAGGAGAAAGACCATCTGCGGACATAACACCTGAGGCGGATATAATCCCTAACCTTTGCCACGCTATCTTCACGAGCGACCAATCTGGCTTCTCACCCGAGGTGTTCTCTAGGGCACATGGGGATATCTGGCTTGGAGGACTCAACTCCTCTACCCTACGTTTGCCCACGTTGGCCACAGATGCGCGAAATATGATCTCTCGCACCGCCATCAATACCCTGAAGGGTGTAGCCCGACGTCTTTGTGGACATGACATTCAGTTCGTACGAGAAGGATTATGCTTCAGACCTGTATCACCTACAGGAAAACCCATTATTGCGAAGGTGGATGGGGAGGATTTGGGTGATGAGGTTGGCTTGGTTGGTGGCGTATTCGTGGCAACAGGTCATGGTCCATGGGGAATCAGTCTGAGTCTGGGAACAGGGCATGTCGTGGCCGAGATGGTGCTTGGAAGGGATCCGAGTGCAGACGTCAGTGCGTTGGGATTAAGGTATTCCAATGACTAGTGGAGCCTGTCGAATGGATACGTTCAATGTAGGACCTTTATTGATTGACGTTATAGGTCGACACGTCGCAGTCTGCGTGCGATTCCTGTGATATTATTGCATGTGGACATTACGCTTTCTACTCTGCTTGTCTTCCCATGACCTTACACGAAGTTCTAGGGATCGCAATGAAAAGACGTTCTTTCTAAAACTCCTCGACGCTCACCTGCTGAACCCAATCTAAGTTGACGACCTGAATATTCTTTTCGGAAAGCACGTGTTTGGTATCTTCCCAACTTCCATCTCCATGTACGCACCGCGTACCCTCGTCAACAACGTAAGTCGTCCATCCACATTCTGCACTATCAATCGCAGTGAACTTCACACAGTAATCGCCGGCCAGTCCCACTACCAGTACAGTCTCGATACCTTCTCCTGACAGCAAATCCTCGAGTTCGCTGATTGCTTCCTTGAGAGGTGGGTCACGAAGAGGTGAGCGAAAGGCAGAGTACATCTCCACACGCGGATCTGTTCCCTTCAGAATGATCCTGTGCACTTTCGACTGGTCAAGTTCGGGGATAAGTTCGTTCCCCGGCGTGCCGATAACACAATGGTCCGGCCACAGTCGCGTCTCGTACTTTTCGTTTGGATTGTGGGGGTTCACAATAGTTGTGAACGACGTGAACGGTTCTGCTCCAGGATGGGAAGACGCGAAGCTGATATGACCTCGGGGATGGTGATCCTTCGTTGCAATTTTGAGCGCAAACGGAAGAGAAAGCAGCTCATTTACTGTCGCGACGATGTCTCGTCCACAAGGGACGGCAAGTGCACCATTCTGCGAGTAGAATGGTGGAGGACATTGCCAGTAAGCACTAGGGGAAACGCATAAAAGATGCAAGGTTTTACGGGAGGGCAAAAGTCCTCTTGGACATCCACCGCGAGCAAAGCGGACTTCGCAAATGAAGGCATTGATGATATCAGTTCTAGTCAAGGACCATGCATGCATTACTGTAATCAGTACTTGTACTAAATTACTCACCTTGAAGTTTGCTTACAGCCGTTTGAATAAAGGATGGCAGTTCTATGTCCTGAGGTACGAAGGTTTCTACATCTATCCACGTCTGCCGGTGGGAGACTAGGCAGTCCTGAGATTTTCGAAGAAGAGAAAGAGTACTACGATTTCAAAATTCAAGCTTCCGCGGCACGCCCGTCTGTCGAGGGTTCGACCCCCCACTATGACACTTTCCCCTACCATTCATTTTCCTTCAGAATACTTCTATTTGCCATCTACACTGCTTTTTCTGCCCCTTGCTTTAAATTCTGGCATGGCAATGGGCTGTATTTTTCTTTGCCTGCTACGTTGACTTGTAAGCTCAAGAATTCCTGGCTCGTTAGAGACAGGTTACCCACCTTGGATTTTGCTCCTTATCGATTGCACCTTTGTTTGTACTTGTTTGTACCAGATAAGATAAAACCGGTCACTTCCTCCGTCCATTTCAATAAACTCACTGGCAGCTCCTCCTCCTCTCCTGAGTCCTGATATTGCGGAAGGTCAGAGTACTCGCGCTCCCTCTCTCTTGGCCCGTTCGAGACTGATTACCCCTCAACACTTCTAAGAGTTCTGTGACTTAGCGCCCGATACACCTGGTACTAGTAGCTTCAATTCCGCCGAACATATGGAGTAATAGAGAATTACGAAACCATTCACTCTACTAAGTATATTCTGTAAACCTAGCAGTATACTACAAGGTTCAACCCAGAATGTGTCCATTCAGCAAGTTCCCTCAGAGAATTGTGCTATCAGTAGATCCTGGACAGTACTGGTGTCCGACTCGATTGTGTCACTGCATACAGACATGGTAAGTTGTGAATATGCACACCACCACTTGAACCTTGATCCCCTCCCCTGTAATACCCTCTCTGAGTTATGCCTTTCATGATATTCTCATTTTGTACAAGGCAGATGAGCAAAATCGCTCAGGCTGCCTCTCATTCAACTAAGTACACCACCAGTATCTTAAGCAGAGCTGCATCAGATTTACCGCGTCCAATAACCCTCCCTCTCAATTTCAAGCCATTTTTGAAGCTTGCAGAGATCCATCAGGCTTTCTCAGCATACCCTGCCTCTCACCAATAAGATCTTGGAGTGCTTGCGACTGTCCGGTGTTTTTATGGCGGTAGTGTCGCTGCCAGGTAAGTAGGCTCGATCTGACTGGGAGTTACAACTTGAAAGTTCCATTTAATTCAAATTCTACATGCAAGTGCGCAAGGATGCTTTGCCTGTTATGTAACTATAGTAGATACTACTGCTTTGTACACAGTATAGCTTGACTGTGGATATGGTTTTCAACAAATTCAAGATTTCTGTATAGAGTGACCTGAATCACGTATCAACACCGCACGAGCCAGGATCCGCCGGCGCAGCGGCCTTTTCGAGTCGTTGAGGTTCCGGCGCTAAAAGTCGTATTTTGGTGAAACGCCCAGAATCGTATCCTTCGTTTCTGTCATGTCAAAAAGTTGGGGACTGCCATTCTTTATTCAAATGGCTGTAATCTTGAAGCTTGAAATCCTAGGGGCTTCTAGTCTTGCAAAACGGTCGGCATACTTACCTAGCATCAAAGCCGCAACGATCATGCAGTACACTGCGTCACATGAAAGTCACGGGGTCGGTGGCGTAGTTGGTTATCGCATCTGTCTAACATTCTAGTGATTCACTGCAGTGCACAGAAGGTCCTCAGTTCGAACCTGGGCCGACTCAACACGGACTTGATCAGAGTCAGATTTTCATCAGCAAACTCGTGAAGGTCTGAAAATGTCTTGCCAGACATGACGATCGACGCAAACCTGGCAAACCTGGCAAATCAATGAAAACGTCCGTGATGGTCCTCGCGTTTTTCGGTAGCCTTCTATGTGGCCGCAATGCCTTCCGTGCATCGCGAGCATCGCGAGCATTCTCATGTCTTCCTATGCATTGCTGTTTTTGCCCATGCATAGCATCCTTTCTTAGATCTTTCGTGCTTTGGGATGTATTATTAGTGATTCCTTTTGTTCCTTTATATATTCATATTGTTCAAATATTTGAAAAATGGATATTTTATTTTGCGCCGGCTACTTCACATGTTGTGCTACACTACATACTAATATCATACGTGTCATTAGATCCTGAGCCAATACAGAATAGTGATGGGACTAGGAAGATGGAAGGGGCAGAAATGAGGCTGTAGGCCAACCTGCGGGACAAGGACCACTGGAGGACAGAAGATCCTACCTGCAAGGACTATAGCACATCAGCAA